CATGCCTCTAAATCAACAAAAATGTGGTTTAAACGTAAAAATATTAATCTGATGACATGGCCTGCTAGAAGCCCTGACCTGAATCCGATGGAAAATCTTTGGGAGATGATGGTTCGTACAGTTTATGCCAATGGAAAGCAGTTTTCCCACAATTCATGATTCGAAGGCAGCAATTTCAGATGCTTGGGATAAACTTAGGATTGAATTCCTTCAGAATCTAATTGAAACAATGCCTAATCGAGTATTTAATGTAATTAAGTTAAATGGTGGTTACATTGGCCATTAAATTGTAAGAAAACTTTGCAATTTGATACCTGTCCGGATAAATATGTAACAGTTTTTTTATACAAAATTTTCAAAAATATTATTTTCAGTGACAAAATGTTAATGTTTGATTAAAATTCTTATTTTGCAGTGTGGAAACAAGTAAATCCATGCTATTTTTAATGAAACATTTGTCACTTAATGCAGCAAATTTGGGTTTCACTTTAATTTTTTCGTGTCCGTATAAATTTGAAACACACCTTATGCTAACAGAAAGTAGAACAAAGTAGGAAAAGTAGGACAAGTGAATGGGAGTCCTGTATCCATTTCCAACAAATATTTATGTGCAAAAATGATTATTCAATGATTCTTATAGAAACAAAGTACTCCTTGGATAATGGAGATAAAAATATGACAAAATGTGATAACAATAATTCTACACTGAATTTTATTCTTTATCAATTCAATATTTCTGTTACTGTTGGATATTATTCATTGCATAATATTTCTGAAATAGTAGACAGTATTACAGACAAATCAAAATTGTCTAGATCTATTATAATACAGTCGACCCCCCTATAAGATATAGATACGTTCCAATTTATTAGGAATCCGATTTCTTACAAGTCGTTCCAATCACAGCCCGACACGTGTCAAGTTTACAGACTACGGCTGATTGAAAGGTTTTCTTCCATAAAATTAATCGATTCTACACTAATCCGACTCAACATTTCCAAAATACATATATTTTTTCTTAGTTTTATAGGAATCGTAATTATAGGGACCGTAATTATAGGGGGGGTTGACTGTAGCTGTTTTTTTCTTAGTGTTATGAATGTAACAAGCCAAGAAGTACAGAATCACATTTTTTAATAAATGATAGAATTTAACATTAAATGCAACAAGTCAGTAGCTGCTTAAATATTGTTTTAATAATACATTTTTATTTGTCAATGGTCACTTTCCTCAGATATGTGTAAACATTAAATAGGGTTTTTGGAGTATTAAAGGATTAACTATATTTTAAATGATTTGTGCTTCAAATAATACATTATAAAAGCTTCAAGACAAAATGTGTAATAATTAAATACATAAGTTTTCAGGTTACATTGAAAAGTTTAAGTTATGTGACACACTAAAAGTTGTTAAAACATTGAACTGATATTAACCATAAAAGAAATAAAATTACCTTTATTATCAAGAAACATGTAACCATCAAATTTATCTTTGAAAATAAATATATCATTGGGATTTAAAAAGTTGATATAACCTCGTGAAAAAGCATGTTGGCCAAGGCTGAAAGAAATAGTATTAAAATTTATAGTAGATATAATTTATTTTCCACACTAAAAAACTAATTTTTAGTGAAAATGAAATATTCATATATCTGAAAAAAATCAATATTTTATTTTCATTAAATTCAATCATTTTTATTTTATACAGTTTTTATATTAAAGAATAAATCTGATTTCTCTAAAATGAGTCTACATATAAACTTATTATATAGTAAACAAATAGCCTAAAGACTAATATTTGTAAAATATTTAATATACAGTACTTTATTATATATTTTAATATAATGACAAAAGTATGTTATAAATTAGTTATATTATTGATTTTTAATTTTCTAATTCTCTTATTCAAATAGTGAAATGTTTTTAGAATTAGAAAATTTGTCATCCTCATATAAATATTTAAAAGTAGAAATACTTAGTAAACAAAACTTATTCTAACACTTTGTAAACGTGCAGCCAAATTTATTAACTTCTTAATGTTTTCGGTCCTGTTAAAGGACCTTTATCAAGAAAAAACTTTAAAATTCAAACACAGTACATTTGCATAAACAAATAGGCTTTTCGAACGTTTTTGAACGATATTCTATTGAACATTAGGTGCGCCATCTTTATCAATAGCTAATATTAAAACATGAAGATAAAATAAAAAGCATAAAAAATAAAATAAAATTGAGACCATAAATGGAAAATAACTACAAACATTAAAAAGAAATTAAGACACATGAAATATAATGTATAACGTGTTACATTATATTTGTGTTTAACGTATAATGTTTGTAGTTTAACATATAATGGTTGTAGTTTAACGTTATATTTATGTTTAATGTATAATGTTTGTAGTTATTTTCCATTTATGGTCCCAATTTTATTTTATTTTTTATGCTTTTTATTTTATCTTCATGTTATAATATTAACTATTGATAAAGATGGTGCACCTAATGTTCAATAGACTATCATTCAAAAATGTTCGAAAAGCCTATTCATTTATGCAAATGTACTGTGTTCGAATTTTAAAATTTTTTCTTGATAAAGGTCTTTTAACAGGACTGAAAACGTTAGGAAGTTAATAAATTTGGCTGCACGTTTACAAGGTGTTAGAGTAGGTTTTGTTTATTGAATAATATGCAGTCTTGGATGAATAGAAATACTTAGTTTTGCTAAAATGCTGTAACAGAATTACAGCAAAAAAACTTAACATGGTGCTTCTACTTAAAACTTATTATGCAAAGCCTCAAGTTTTCATGTTTAGTTTAGTCATTATTTACTTTAATAGAACAGCTTTTCACAGTCATTACCGAAAGAAATGTGCATAATAATAATAACATAAAATAATGTATTTGCATTATCAATGCAAGTAAACAGCAGTTAATAGAAAAAATTAATATTTATTAATATGTGAAGAAATTTTTCAAGCAAATTCTCTATAATACATATAATAAGTATCAAATAGGAGTAATGTATGTTTTTAATCTGTAACTTCATTACTATGCAATTACTTTATGAAATAATTCCATTTTTTAAATAAACACATGACAATGACTAAATTTCTAAATGGGAAAAAACAATTTGACTCAAAAATTATAAATTATAACATTGTAACTGTCATTTTTAACTTATTTACAGAATAATTAAATTGATTATAACTTTAATCATATGAAATATATTTATGTATTTTTTTTTAAGTTATAAACAAATTACAAATTATTATTAGTTTTTACCACTTAAATCTTTCAATGCTGTAGTATTTTTGGTACTTTTCAGTTAACCAGATGTCAACTTATATCTACAACAAAGAATAAGATTCAAGCTCTGAATGAGGAGTTTCATACCACCCCCAGAATTGTTGACCCTTTATGTGATATTCATCTCAGAAGGTCAGTTTTTAACATGTATCAGTCTACTGCCTATTATACATGCTTCCCATGTAGACATATGCCTGGGTGCTTGCTATCACTCATATCTCAGCAACCAGTGGAAGCCAAGCACCATACCCCCCTAAATCTATATAACATGAAGTACTCCACAAACAGTCAAGTGGGCTAAATTGTTAAACTCAATAGTCTTTCACAATAGTCTTCTAACATCCCATTAAAAGTACTGTATTTTTAAATAATGAATAAATTCCAATTTTAATTCTCAAATGTTTTTAACCATTCAGTTATCTTTAGGACAGCAACATTAGAAATAGAAATTTATACAGTGGTCTCTCATATGAGGTCTGTTCAAAAAATACGCGGACTGACGTCATAAAACAAAATGTACTTCATGTAGAAGTTACATGTCTGGGTTCCCTTCAAAGTACTCTCCTTCCCAATGCACACACTTATCCCAACGGTGTTTCCACTTGTTGAAACAGTCCTGGTATGCTTCTTTTGTAATGTTCTTCAACGCCTTCGTCGCATTTGCCTTAATCTCGGGAATCATCTCAAATCTTCTTCCTTTCAAGGGTCTTTTGAGTTTGGGGAACAAGAAAAAGTCACAAGGAACAAAGTCAGGTGAGTAGGAGGGGTGGGGAAGAACAGTGATTGAGTGTTTGGCCAAAAACTCACAAGTTCTGAGGGCTGAATGGGCTGGAGCAATGTCGTGATGGAGAAACCAGTTGCCATTCCTCCACATTTCTGGCCTTTTGTGACGGATGGCATCCCTCAGACATTTCAGAATTTCAATGTAGTAAGTCTGGTTCACTATGGAGCCTTGGGAGAGGTACTCATGGTGAACAACACCCTTAGCATCAAAGAAAACTGTCAGTATCACCTTAACATTGGATCAAGCTTTTTTCGATTTGGGGGATCTCTTGATACATGCTGTAAGCTTCATAGCAACATCACTGTAAGCCGTGTTGAGCATAGCAAATGTTTCAGTTGCAGATTTTCCAAGTTTAACACAAAATTTCACAGCAAGTCATTGCTCCATCAGGTCATTCATTCTGAAATCCGACAAATGAAAAAATCGCACTTCACTAAAAACCACGTAGCTAATCAACAAATAAAGATATCTGTAATCGGGAAATGGCTTTATCACCAGACAATCTGTACAAACCTAGCGACACCAAGCTGATTCCCCTGGAACCAACTGGAGCCACACAATTCAAACAGTCCGCATATTTTTTGAACATACCTTGTACTTCAAATTTAATTCATTCCAGGAGACCATTTGAACTCTGAACCATTTGAAATCCAAAAGCAATGTTTCCCATTAGATGGAAAGTGAATTAACTGATTCCCAGAACCTAAGCAATAACCATTTCAACAAACTTAAACAGCAAATACACATAATTTAAGGTAAAAATAACATAATTAAATGCCCTAAATAATAAATTAAAACATGAAAACAATGAATAAAATATGTAAATACTATATAATAAAATGACAATTGCATTTACCTTACCTCACTAAAGTACAGTAAAAGCAATGTTTACAGGCTTTCTCACAAATAATCCTCTGAAAATTTCAATCAAAGAAAGAAATGCATTTGTAAATCTTTTCATCCATATGGCCCTTGTAGGTCATTTTACTGGCCTACACACTGTTGGATTCCTGAGCACCATATTTTAGCTGTAATGCCATCTCCTAAAGGTAACTCCTCTGGATGACAATACATCTACCCAAGATCAGTACTTTCAAATGTTGGTAAAATAATCTAGTCATTTTTATTGGCTTGAGAACCAAAAGTTACCAATTTTGCATAGGCTTGGAATCCCATATGGTACAGATATCCATTTGTACCAGTCTTTTTTGTTATACTTTTTGTGTTTGTGTGTCTACATTAAAAAAAACCTGTGGCTAGACTTGCCTGGCTATCAGGTATGGCTCCTTGGCAATGGTGCACCAGTTCAAAGAATTGGTAGGGTTTTTTCACCATAAACTAACGCAAGTACTCCATAGCCTCTTGGCATAGTTTTAAGAGTTATCAAATTGATTCTAGTCATGTCCACCAGTGGCTGAGCAGATAAAACCACTGAACGGTGGTAGTTGGTTGTGGGTTCATGTCTCGCCAAAGGAATAACCATGTGGAGTTTTTGGGGTTTTCTTCAAATTAGCAGCACCTAAATAGCAGCCAGTTCTCACAAAAGATCTCCCAGGATGCATTCCCTCCAGCAGATTGCCCATGTGTCATATTGCCTTAATTGAATAAAACCAAAGATTCTAGTTGCAAATTCTACATGTACCCCTTATCATAGGAATAAACATTAAAAAAGCTTATTCTTTAAGAGTTTGTTTTGTTTCTATTAGCCTAAAATGAAACAAAACAAGATTGCTCTAGAAATCAAACTGTTTTTGGAAAATAATCTAAATCCTTGCAAACGTGTTGCGTAATATTTGAGTGAGCATAATTCAGCAAACATGCACATTTAAGATATTTTAATTTAGTTACATAATGACAACCAGCTAATGAGCTAACAGGCTAACTTGCATTCCATAGGCTTGTATAATTCTAAAGTTATTACTTATCAAAGTGTGGCTTTTGTGTTGCACAATCAAGACATCACTGTGTTTAATGCCACATTTTTGCCTTAGCAGAGTTGGGCAGAAAAATAAAACTATATATTTCAATAGAAGGAAAGATGCTCTTTCTAATGCAGCATAAAACAAATTAAGATACCCCACATGGTGATATTTGTCTGTGAATATTGGGTCTCAAAATTTTTTTTACATTTTTCAGTGAGCATATTTCTAAAACTATGACAGCTATAAGCTTGAAATTTTGTATGAATAATTACCTTCTTATACAGTTTTAAAATCCAAAGTTTAGCAGTAAAAGAATGTTTTCTTTCCAAGTTACAGGAAATTGAAATGTGGCTTCTGTTTCACAAGAATGAATTTTTTTCAAACATTGGTGACGATTTGTAAATAGAGTAAATTTTGCTACACACTTCTGTTAGCACATCTGAATTGTCCATTTTAAACTGTCTTTATCCAAGTTTCTGCTGTAATTGCTCTTAGTCAAGGAATCATTAGACAACAAACTTGGCTGTTAAATCACTGCACACAGAGAGGTGGCTTAAGGTGTTTTCCCATTTTGACTTATATCTCAGGAACATACAACATATGGGGCTAATATTTTACATGGCTTAGTTTAAGATCTTGGGCTACTTTGTGTCAAATTTAATTGAAATCTCAGGGGGTCAAGCTGAAGATCTTGGTCACTTTACACGGAATGACCCAAAAAAGAAAATACTATTTTATAAGTACAGTAAAAAAAACATATCATTAAACAGAAATTTACCACAATAGAGGATATCATTCAAACAAGAGAAAATATTACATTAAGCTAATATGAACTGCACAGATAACTATATTTCTTGTCATTAAAAAGGGATTTATTGTTATATTAAAAATTGCTGTACAAAGATTTGTCTGTATAAAGCATATAGTATTGGTATGGCAAGCCCAAACAGGCATTTTTAAAACAAAAACAAGTAGTAATATTATGTTGTGTACCGTATGAATTATAATAATAGAGTAAAGACTAAATTAAAGATTAAATTTCAAAAAATGTTAAAGTATGAAGCATAGATCTAAGCAGACAATCATTTATCCTTAGAATTATATATTATTTTAATATCAGTTATGGGTATTTAGCTATCAAATAGTACAAAATATATAATAATAAATATCTGTGTTAATACTACTATTATTAATGTTTGAAAAATGTTTAAGTAAAAATCACTTTAAAAAATAAAAAAAGCAACAAACTACCAATAATAAGAATAAATGAAAATTTAGTAGTTGCATTTTACTTATTTTGTAAATTCTAGATAATTCATATTATTCTGCAAATCATATTATTCTGTAATTCATATTATTCTGCAAAAAGAAATAATAATATTTATGTACTTTATTTATGTTTATTCTTATTTCTATTGATATTTGTATAAATTCTTTTATATTCAAATTTAAATTGCTAACATTCCATTATATGTATATAAACTTACACATTTTACATTATGTTGCAATATTTATTTTCATATTTGTCCTGATGATAGCTACTGTAACTGTCAAAAATGTTTGACAAATAAATAATTTATCTGATAAAGGCTTATCTAGAGATTTTTGAAAGATTTAAGAATGAAACATATCAACAATTAAGAAAATACAAAAACAATTATATTTGAAAACTGGATCATATTTTATATAACAAACATATATAACCCCATATATTTTTGTATCTTAGAAAAAGCACGACACCGACCAATCTCACGATCCAACCGTAAAATTCATTAAATTATTAGAAAATATAGATTTAATAAATATTTAAATGTTTTGTCAATAATATAAATTTTAGTATACATAAATTAAATATTTTTATATATACAAATAATTTTACAGGAGTGTAATGAACGTTCAAAGAAAACATTCTTTTCGTTCACGAGAACAAGTTGTTAATCTTCAAAGCACTCAGAACGATTTTTAATCTTTTTGTAATTATTACTCCATTAAAAGCCATATTTTTCTTTCTCCGATAATAAATTACACTTGTCATCGAGATTCCGGAAGTGTTGCCATACGATTTACCTAACTACACATTTACCTAGCTAAAATATTAAATAATTAAGTTTATATGCAATCATTACTAGTGAGCACTTGGTGCATCATGACTATATGACAGGACTTGTGTTTGGAAAGAAAGATCCACATTATTTGCCAGCATGAGTGAAAATAGGAATGATGCTATTCATGCTAAAATTAGATTTAACCTAGATCCAGCCTATGTACATTTAATTGACCAACCTCATATCTGCCTTAACAAACTGTAAATAATCATTCTCAGGAATTGGAGAAATTTGATCCATAAATTGTTCTTCTGTCATTGTAGGAGGAAGTCTGCGAATAACAACCTGAAATATGGCAAATTCAATTAACGTAAAGCATAGAAACCACTAAAATATTCCTTTATTTTAAAAATTGGCCTCACTTTTGTTTGATAAACTTTCTCCTTCCTCATCTTTAATTTTCCATTATCTAGTTTATCTTCAGTACAATCCTCTTTGGATTTGTTTATTATATCCGAAGACATAATTAAAACAGAAGAATTTTTATATAAATTTTTTAAAATATTTGATAAATTGTTACATAAATTTCATATTCTAAAATAAATCTTTTAAGAAAATATCGAAGTTTGTTGTTATCTTTCCAATGTTTGATACATATTAAGTACCATCTGGTGTGAAAATAACAACGAACCTTCAAAAATTTTAACAAAATTATAAAATTAAATATTATTTTAAAATTAAAAGCATATTATTTTATAAAAATAAAAAATATAATTATATCTAAAAATTTTAAAATACAGTACATTTATATATTTTGTTTAGTTTAATTCTTAATTTTTATGAGTCCTTTTAATAGGTCGGACGGCCGAGCGGTCAAGGCGGTAGCCTACCGCTCTGGGAGACTCGGGCTCGAATCCGAACGGGTCGAAAAATCCCCAGGAATTTTTTCGGATATGTCTGACCCCGTCCATCACCACCCGACAGCCCCATTGTAGGCCTGGCCGATCCCATAATGGGCTTGCAAAAAAGAGGCCCTTTTAGTGCCAACAGGGCGGAAAGAGTTAAAAAAAGAGAGTCCCTTTAATTTAATACAAAATCAGCTGAACAATGAGTTGTGGCAAATCTTTCTCACCAGAAGTGTTTAAATTTATAACTATAACCATACGTTAATTTTGTTATTGTGAGCGAAAACAGATGCACTTATTTTAAAGCAATAATCGCGTTGTCTAAGATACACTTCTCGTCAGCCCTGTTATTCCATTTGGAAAACGTATTCATTTGCTCCTATTTTTGATTAACGGAGCCAGTGCCAAATCCTTAACTACGTTGTCAAAAATCTAATTTTTCGCATATTTGTGTTGTATGGAAAAATAGATTCGGGAAGGAACCTACCGTTAGCACAGCTTATTCAAACACTAATAGAGTCTCATTGGTTATATCAACGTAGCACAGACACGAAATATTTGAATTTGTCGTATAAATCGTCACCTTTATATCCCGATTATATTGGTTTTTCGATGCTAAATCTAAATGCATAAATGATTCGTAAGGTCGTCCTCGTCTTTAATATAGAAATGTTGCGAAGGCAACCAAAAATGGTACTTTGCTCTTCAAAAAGTACAGATTATTCTTTGATATATTGTTGCTAAAGACAATAGTTCCTATGGAACTTTTTTCGGGATTCCGCGTATCCGTTTCTTCGTAATCAAATAGACATTCTCGTTTTCTCCATCCAACACCTTTGAACACAAGAAGAATATTTTTACGTTAACGTTATTTTTACGTTATGCCTAAACGTGATACAGGGAAGCTACTGTGGTTTAATGCATTTCCAGTGGAGCACTACGTCACATTACCGCGAAAAGCTTAAAAAACCAAAAACTAAACTGAAAGGCGGGCCACCTTTAGGCACGGGGCCTGTTGCCCGGCTCTAACGACGGCACCGAACAAAGCCAAACGTTTCCGTTGATTCCAATGTAAAAGTGGACGATATGCACACATTAGCAGATGTAGTACCATCAATTCAGTGTTTTCTCCTATAGCGTGATGTAAATTAATGGTTAAGTCGAACAGTTATATCTTGATATATTACCGTAATAACCGGTTGAAAACAGTTTGGAACAATTTAAAAGGTAATAATTTTAGGTGACATGGAAATAATTTGATGCCAAATCAAACCAAAGGCTTTATTACAGAGACAATTCTTTATAATTACACTTATATCATTCAACAAACTATTTTCGTACGAAAATTTACAAATTCTAGAACAGAATCAAAACTAATGCATTGCAGTGAATGTCTTCTTCTATGACTTTAATTGAATCAAGTTATTTCGCAACTGTCTCAGGTTTTTTTTGACTTCTCCAAATGCATTTTCATCATGAAACTTCACCATCCTGAAAGCGACAAACAATACTTAACGACATTTATTCAAGTTTGTAATTCCTTATTAATAGTGAGGTTGAGGCCGAAGTTTTAAACGCGAAAACGTGTACGTCGGACGTTCAGTGCCGCTTTCCTGTAAGCCTAGAAGTTTGACAATGGTGTTTGGAATGTCGAGCATCGAGCATGATTCCATTGACTATCCAAACACCATTGTCAAACATCTAGGCTTACAGGAAAGCGGCGCTGAACGTCCGACGTACGCGTTTAAAACTTCGGCCTCAACCTTTCTAATAATTCCACTTACAGTTTCATAAAGCGTTTCGTTTAACGCAATTTTTATCTGCAAACTTTCGTTCTTCGCAAAGAATTTAAGAAAAATTTTTTTCTGTTTTGTGTATCAAAACTTCGTCTTTTCGTGTTTTTCAAGTTCAACGGACTTTCGTTGAATTTAGACGATGTCACAAACAATGGACACAATTTGAGAAAATTCAAATTTCAGTAAAAACACAATTCCGGAGAGTCCAAGTTCCAGGGATGACACAAATTGGGAGTCAAATTTGAGCGCAGATAAAAGCCGGAAGAGTTCAAATTCGGGGTAGACGTAATTCGAGAGTCCAAATTCGTGTAGACCAATTTGGAAAAATGATAATTTATTAAAAGACAATAATAATGAGTCATAGCCAGGACAAAGTCAAAATTGGGAGGTCATAATCGAAATTGGTATTGACGCAATCGGGATGTCAAAATCAGGAGAAGGATTCAAGTCATCGATGATTTTCAGAAAAAATCATATCTAAAAGTGAATGAAAAAGCAATATTTTAATTTTTACTTATAAATTGAAAATTATTTTTGTAATTTTAAAACTTTACTTTTTAGGAGATTTTTAGATTTTATTTATGAAGTTTTAAACTTTACAATTTCTTTTTGTTATTTTTTGAATATTTTTAAATATACAACAAACAACGAAAACAAATAAATATTAAATAAAAACAAAATTAAGAATAAATGCGATTATATACAAAGTAATTAAAGGTAAATACAATTAAAAACAAATAAATACGAATAAAGAAATAAAACGAAAAGAACTATGTACAGAATACAGAGATGAAAATCTCTGAATTTCTTCTGAATTTTGTGAAAATAAAAAAAAAATAATCAAGATTTTCCTATAAAATATTCAATTATTTAAATAAGAGTAGAAGTTTTTGAAAAATTATATATATTTTTTAATTTCATTTATTTATCTACCTCAATTTCAGTGGCGTGCCGTCTTTGTAAGCGGTGGAAGCGCCGCTTTCCTTGTATTTTCAAAAATATAAAGATATATTGTGCTATTATTTTCATATAATTAAAATTAATATTTTATTATAACCACATTATGTATCTTATTACAAATTTCTATACTACATGTAAAACAAACGACAAGATTGCTATTGTATATTCGAATATCAGTGGCGAAATGGAAGCGCTGTATTGTCGAATACGGACAGCTTCCAAACAGCCAGATTATACGCATTCGTGCATACGCTTTACAAAGCACCAACGTCGCGGTTTAGATAGTGGATGCCACACACCAAAATATCGTATAACGCTTCCAATGATTCCATCCAGGACCGGTTCCGGGCTGTTAGCCACTTGCGTTCTAGATATTTGGCCGCCCTCGCCCCATTATGTGAATCGCAAGTAGATTTATAACTTAAAATATTATTTTTGAAAAAGAATTTAAATAGTCCTTTTTCTCGCTAATTTCTAAAAATGTATTTTCCTCCCTTCTGCATCTCACATTAGCATTTATAATTTTTTTCATACCCTTAAAATTAAACCTTTTGCCATTTTATAATAATTAAAAATATCAAAAGATTATATAACAAAATTTCATAACAGATGGCGCCACACACAATTTTATTTATTATAATTTAATTAAAAGTATAAAAGTTATTTTCTAAATAAAATCTCACAACAGCCGAGAAAGTTACGCAACTCGTTAGTTTTGATCGATTCTTTTATAAAAAAAGAACAGTTACATTTCTTGAAACGAACGATCTTTTACTCAGTTTCAATATAGAAAAATCTATATTTGATTGTTTCGTGTAAAATACATACACGATATTTTCTATCGGTCAGGTGAATTCATAAAATTTGCTTATTTAATATACTAATTAACGTTTACGTAACTAAACCATAACACGCATATTTAATATAACCAACGTTCGATGACGTCAGGTAAGCGCTCTTAAAATGGCGTCGGATAAACGAAATATTACGAAATTCAGTAAAAATTGCACTGTCGGTCAATCGGAAACTTGGTCCGAAATTACTGGACGAACCAGAGGAATGATTTGTTCTAGTTTTGGGGGTGGCGACGTTCGATTATAGAAAATCTCGCTTCCAACCCCTTGTGGAGAATGGAAACCGAAGACAGAGGGTGATAGGGAGTCTCTCGATCCCAATCCGTCGTCATTCCGGGGATAGAAACGTAAAAAATGCAGATATTTAGCCTTAAAATTCAAAAAGAATCCATGACGTCAATCGCATTGGAATTCGTTACGCGCTTTTCTAATCTCCATAGAAACGGCAACAATTGCTGTTTCTATTGTTGCAACACGATTTTGCGTCACTTTGCACGTTTTTCGCTTGCTGTGAGGACGTGTGCGCTCTTTGCTCCTGTTTTCGCTGTGTTTTTTGCCTTCTTCAGTGTTCTTTTCTACCGGAACGTGGTTTTAAGAAGACTTGTGGACGCCGACGTTATACCAAGTAAGATTTTAACTAGAATTTATCTAGCTGTAAGATTTTATTTTCGTTTCGTTTAGTCCGACTTTCGGAGACGACATCGGCGTTTAAATCTGCCGTCGCTTGTGAATTAGGACTTTTAAACGAACGACCGAAGCGCCGAAAACGGATTAAGTATTTGCTCATTGGTTTATTCTCGTAATTAATTCATTTATATTTTATAAACACGGTCAAAGAATAAGGATTATTTATAGAAATTCAATTAAAAATTACTTAATACTAACTTTAAATACGAATTCCATCGTAATTTTAACTAAAATATACTCTGGTAACATTGATGGACGGAGACCGTATTCTGAAGCATGGGATGTTCGTTCGACAGGTCAAAAACTTCGCCCTTTGACCTCCGACTTCTCCATGCAATTTATGTATTAGTTTCAATGGAATTAAATTGTCTGCAAACACATCTAATACTAATACACTTAACAATTATCTATACAGGCTGGACACAAAGAATTCTTTTCCTTAGGCTCTTTGTCTCTTTCCACAAGGTGGTCTGAGTGCAGTCGATCTTCCACACTTACGTAACATTTAAGTGGCACAATGCTTTGTGTTACTTAAACGTTCGTGTCCCGAATGGGCACGTTTCACTTCTTCGTACGTTTGTCTTGTGTTTTGGTCGACTCGTTCGCAATTTCTTTGCACGAAACTCTTTTAAATTCCGTCGATGCGTTCATGTGACGTACACATTAGGGTAAATTGGTCTAGAACGAAACAATCGTTACGACTCGGGCTCGAATGCCTTTTCCTCATGGCTACGTGCGGCGTGTCTTTAATTTACTGTCGTACAAATACAAATTACACGTAAGAGAGTTCCTTCGTTCCGGGTCGGTCGTCTCTACTGCAAATACAGTTGAAACGTTCTAGCAATTTCCGGTAGGATATAACGCGAGCTATCCGACTTCCGATTCGTCGTGAGTATAATCTTGAACTTTTTCTGCGTTAATCGGTCCCAGAAGACATCTCGGCACGTCGTTCGATGGTCGGATTCGAATCTTTTAGACTTAAAAAGGCAGCTGCGGTGAGCATTTTGCTTTTTTCGAAGAATTTAGACATTAATTTAAGCTTTTGTTTTAATCGACTAATTGCAAATTTTCTTTTTTTCAGAATGAAGATGTTGGAGTGGTTTCGCCGGAGGTTCCGACGGAAGAATGCGGTGGCGCCGGAGGGAGGGGGTTCCTCGAACGGCTCCGGTGAGACGTTCGAGGACCGTGGGTTCGACCGTGTCTCTGTCGAATCGATTAGTTCGGTGTCGTTGGAGACCGTCGAACAAGAGGCAGTGGGTGGTGACGACCTTCCCCCAGTGCGTGTGGCGTGGGACTCTCCCGGAGGCGGGAGAGTTCTGAGTCCATTCCACTTGGTCAATGTCGTCAGGGAGCAGCCGGCCACAAGCCTTGTTGTGGAAGACGTAGAGAGTGACGTGTTCTCTTGGAGTTCGACGTCACTTTCTACTTTCGCGTGGTCTGCCTCTCTGTCGTCGCCATCGTCTTTCCGAAGTCGGAACGGGGAAGCATCGGAGGAGAGCGCCGCCGAAGTCGAGGAACCGCGGGTTTGTTGCTACGGGTGGCTACGGTTCCCTCGGCCTAGGCGGTGATCCTCTTCGATTTTCCCAACTCGTCCTTTTCACCCGGATGCGACATTCTGACCGGATTCGACACTTTCACCCGGACATGACCTCTTTACTCGGATGTGGCCTTCTCTTACCCGGATGTTCTCACGGACTTGTCTCCCGAACGTGACACTCGATCGACGACAACGGATTTGACTTCCGATTGTGACCACCCGGACTTGACACGCTTCTTCACCGGACGCGACATTCGGCCGACCTTTCTTCCCAAACAGCTGTTACGAGGATTGAGCTTCAGGTTAGGTTAGGTTAGGTTAGGTTAGGCTAGGCTAGGTCAGGTCCTTCGCTCTCCTCATGACACTGTTCGGGAAGAAAGACTATCTGATAAAGGTAATAATGTTGACCTTAGATAATAAAGGAATCAACTTCTCCTTTTCTCACTGTCTTTATGTTTTGTAGGAACATTTGGGAGGGAGAAGGATCTCCCAAATGTTCCTACAAAACACAAAGTTGAGGAGGGAGAGTGATTTTTCTCCCTCCCCAACTTTACCACGAAGAGGACGAAGTGGCTGGCCATTTATCGCACAAGTGAATGTTTTCCGAAATCTCCGATGGTAAGAACTCTTTCGTTTCGTTTTTTAACACGTCTCATTCTCGTATCGTAATTTACTGTTTTTCTGTTTTTAGACATGCCGAAGATGTTCTTGGATCGCACACACACGCACGCACGGATATAACATCACTGTACACGAAGATATACACCGTTTAACTCGAATTCTCGCACTCATGCATTTACACGTCAAGCGCCACGTTCTGTGTAATTCCACACAATGAAACAACCCGAACACACGCTTCCCACAAATCCAACCCCTGGGTCCTCGTCCCGGGAAGTGGAAACGCCAATTTTAAAGATTAAAACACTTTAAATTGGCGGCCGAAGGGGCTCTGGTAATCACACATCTTGCATGGATTAAATAGAATTTCGGACATTAGCATCAATAATCGTTTTGTGATGAATTTTTCTGTTAAATTTAGTGTGGTAAGAAATTATCTGCGCACAAATCACGCTCGTAGCATTGCTAACTCTTACTTAAGATCATTAAAGATCTTAATCTTTATACCCATTTTTGGTTTCTCAAGATCCACGATATGGGCTGCAGGACTGTATGACACAGGACTTGACAGACCGCCCTGGGTTCTTCAACAGCACGAATCGATGTCAGAGCGGTAGACCGAAGTCTTAACCGCTCAAACATCCAGCCGTCACCTTGTTATACTAGGTGTTGAAAGTATAACAAGTAGTGACACTTGCATATAAACAGTTTCTTATTGTACACTAGACACTTGCACATAAATTGTTTTTAGTTGGTCTACAATGTACCATATATCTTACACAATATATTATTTCGGTGAGAAATTGACACCATTTTGTTCAAGACGCGTTTTAGGATCTTAATAGCCAATTATTTCTAACACGACCGGATTTCAACAAATCTAACCAAACTTGGACCAAAGGTTAGGCCACATAACACATAGGAAAGATGGATGGGAGGCCGACAAAGTCACGCTTGGAACGACTCGGGGCCGGTTTTGGTAGATATGCAGTGCGTGCATGCACGCTGGTGGCCGATAGTGCTCTAAAAAATATAATTTTTCATACTATAAATATAATAATCAACTGGCTCCTGCCGGCCGTTATCTAACTCCTTTCGGGGAAGAACTTTTTGAATGATGTATAGTTAATCGGGACATGCCGCCCTAAGCTTTCTATATTTGGTCTTATGTTTCATGTATCGAACTCTGTTCTCGAGATTAAGTAAGTTAATAGCTTGAGAAACTCCAAAAAATGAAAAGAATATTGGATATGAATGCGAAGAGATGGTAAGCGATTTAAAATCAGCGTTGGGAAGAGTTTTGTTTAAAATCTAAGTATATATCGTATACCTTATAATCCTGGATAGAGAAGGACTTGCATCTTTTTTTCGCCTACGTACTGTACTGTACATGCAATCAAATGGCTGAGTGATCAGAGACAAATCCATTATTAAGGGAGGCGGACAATGGGTAATTACTGAAAAAGCCAAATCGCGGTAAGAATTGTCACGTGTGGGGGAAAAAATGGCTTGGGAAATATTATACTGTAATAATAAATTTCGTTGAGAAAATATGCTTCGACTGGATCTGGATTACAAAAGTTATTACATTTTATTCTGTGAGAAATCTCGTATAGGCTATATAGTCGTCGATTGTTTTGGACCCGGCTGAATTTGTTGCACGAGAATATCACTGATGTACTGTAAAATCCATCGGGTCCGCCCGACCGATTATATCGATAGTTATTTAAAATAAGCGAATAGAAAGAGCTTCCGTGAAAAATTATCATTTACAATAAATTCGAAACTGGTCTCTCGAGGCAAATAAATTCCCCGACTACGTCAATGTTTCTACTGATCTAATCGATTTGTTAACGAAACATAATTCTACTTGATGTAATGACATTATCAACAACTTTAACTGCTTACGTAATCGTATTAAAACAATCATTGATAAACATTTAAGTTAGAAAGTGGTAGGAAATTTATAAGTTTACGGATTCTAAGAGGAATATTTAATTATCTTATCCCCGCTGACGTGACGAAATAAGATATTGGCGTGATGTAGCAGAATCCAGCGAAGAACAGAACAAACTTTAATACTTTCAAAATTAATTGTAATTGTCAAAAATATGAGTCATAGTCAAAATAAACACTTTTTTATATACAGTAGACTTACGTGTGAATCTTATTTTAAACTTTTTTTAGTGGTAGTGAGTAACCAACACTGAGAAACAAGATTAAATAAGAGTAGAAGTTTTTGAAAAATTATATATATTTTTTAATTTCATTTATTTATCTACCTCAATTTCAGTGGC